AAAAAAAAAAAATTAAAAAATCTGCAAGATGATTATACCATTTTCGCGAACGTCTTCATAATGTATGGGCCCCATTGGCCTTTTCAAGGCCTCTTTCTTCTTCCTCCCATTGCTGGCGCTGAAGTTCTTTTATCTTCAGATAATAAGGTTTTCTCATTAGCAGGACTAACGAAACTAGTAGGGGGACAGAGCAAAGCTATATTTAGATAAGAGCTGCGGGACAGCAGTACTTCAGTAAGCTGGATCATGGACAGGCAATTCTAGCTGAAAAAGAAGACAATTCCTCACAGATTTTTTTGACCCACAGTACCACTGGCAAGCTGCGGAAACTGTTTCCATCTTCCTTTCAGCGAGCAGCCAACTTACGACATTAGTGCAACAGAATCTTGCCTCAGCACTGGAGACACATCACTTTCCTCCCGTCCCCTTCAGGGCTAAACGGGAGGGGGAAGCCAGGGCCTCGTGTGCACAGTCACTGTACAGGGCCGAGGAAGCCACACGACACTGTAGCCAGGCAGGGTCTCCTGTCCCTTGTCAGATGGCTCAGGGCTTCTGTACCTCCTTCCTTGTGCTGAGCCCAGGCTGATCTGAACCTGAAGGACTTGGACAAGGTGGACCTTCCACATCAAAACTGCCCTTGGTGAGGGGAGTTTTATTCCCTGGAGCATACTACCAAGTTCTCTCTTAGATGTCTTAGGCCCTATAGAAAAAAAATCTAGTGATATGACCTTTGCCTCAAAATGCAAAAATTAGCATAAAGGAAAAGTTAATAAGCTAACCACCTCTCTCCTCTTGCTTCCTATGGGATAACCCAAGTATATATTCCTAAATGCCTTTCTCCGCAAAGGTCTGTTTGTTGGTTTAGGCTCATTCTATATTTTTAACGCTGATATCAAACAGCTTTCCAAGTAAAAAGATATAGCTCCAACTCATCCCTTTCAGTAGCTACACAGTATGGACGACCAACTACTCAGGCTGTTCCCCGAGTGTGGACAATGCATGCACGCGAATCACACAACAGCTCTTCAGCAAATATTCTTATGCATTAAGAAAAAACCCCTCTAACTGGACCATCAAAGATGATGAACTAAAAGCAGCCTCACCCATAAAATATCCCTGTGTCTGCATTTTGGACCTTGAAGCCTCCCTTGAAGATTTTTATCCATCTCCAACAAATGCGGCAAATCCTTTTTCATACAGCGGCGATATCGCCCTAAAGAATCCACGTAATCCACCCTGAAATAAAAGTGAAAACATGTGAGGAGGGCTTTGTATGTTCCTAGGTTACAGACTAGATGCACTGTAAAAAAGTAATGGAAGCCTCACTACCAAGAAACACTCAACCTGAGAGACTATAACCACTGATAACAGCATGCTTTTTAAATTTTTTAAATTTTTATTTATTTTTTAATGTTTTATTTATTTTTGAGAGAGAGACAGTATGAGCAGGGGAGGGTTAGAGAAAGAGGGAGACACAGAATCCAAAGACAGGCTCCAGTCTCTGACCTGTCAGCACAAAGCCTGATGCGGGGCTCAAACCCACGATCCACGAGATCATGACCTGAGCTGAAGTCAGATGCTCAACCGACTGAGCCTTCCAGGCACCCCAAGCGTGCTTTTTTTAAAGCTGACACACAATAAACTCATTGTGCCCTTTGTTAAAGCTTAGTTTTAGAAAAATGCAGAAAATGATCGATTACGTACATCTCTGAGTTAAAAATACCCCACACAGGGCCACCTGGGTGGCTCAGTCAGTTAAGCATCCGACTTCTGCTCAGGTCATGATCTCACAGTTTATGAGTTCCAGCCCCATGTCAGGCTCTCTGCTGATAGCTCGGGGCCTAGAGCTTGCTTCAGATTCTGTCTTTCCCTTTCACTCTGCCCCTCTCCTACTTGTGCACGCACTCTCTCACGCTCTCAAGAACAAACATTTAAAAAAATAAAATAAAAATACCCGCCATAGACCCTTGCTGCAACACCTCAGAACTTACTTCAATCTGGTTTAGGCAATTCCACATATTTTATCAGCATAATAACTTTGCTCCGTACCACTCTCCACTTACTCATTTTCTCAATCTTCGCAAACCTGACTTTTTATTCTTTCTCTTATTTCTTCTAAGTGGTACAGCTCTTTCCAATTAGAAATTTCTCAAGTCGAGATTACTTTTAGGACCCATTAGTTAGGGGTCAAGCAACACACATTTTGTACTGCAAAAACAGCTCAGCGGCAGGCGGGCCAGTCTATTATCTTCCACTCCTAGTTCCTCTTGCTTTAGCTTTGCCCAAACTAGACAGAAGTTACAGTCAGGGGAACCAGGCACACAGCAAGGCAAAATGAAATACTGCTACTTCCCACAACAGGAAATATGGACAGATTTTGATGGAAAACATTTCAGGTGCATTATGACGCAACCGATCTATTGTTTATTTGCGGGCAAGGAATTTCCCACAGCCTTGGGCAGGGTGCTAAAAACACAGAAAGAGGTCAGTACTGCTGGTGCAACTCAAGAGCAGAGTCTCGTGTATGTGGCTTTGCTTTTAGCAGTTTCTTCCCTCTCACATGTGCTGATCCCAACTGTTAGCCCACGCTTAGAAAACTGAACGTCTGAGAATCTATTACTGCAGTCCTGACACTGATTACCACAAGAAATAAAACTCCAACTGCAGAAAGCAGTTTCTTTCTTCCTCCCCACCCCCTTTTTTTTAACGAAGAGAGAAAGAAAATCATCTAGCCAGATGGCCTCCGTAATTATTTACAGTATTTTTGCGCAAAGATTTCCCACCACCTGGACCTTAACTACCGAAAGGATCTGACAAGTAGCACCGATTCTGGAGCTTAATTTAAAAACAAAGCAAGTGTCAGAACTGCTTGCGGTGCCTCTTCCTTCGCCATATGGCGGCATGTGACACCTTCAATTGCCCTCCAAACTCTTCACATCACTGACAAATTGCTAGTAATCATACAAGCATTAGGAAGAAAAAAAAGACATTAAACCTTTCAAAGGAGATGAAGTTTCTGCTATGAAAAGCAATCATAGGCTATTCTGTTTCTGGAAAAGGTCTCTATACTGTACAGATTCCCTCAAAACAGAAGTGGCAAGACAGCAGTCAGCAAGGGCTCGATGCAGTCAGCAATCACTGAACGAGCTCCAGGGAAATAATTACTTGAGATTCAAGAGTAATACAGCAGGGCTCAGGGTCATGGCATCCTCAAAGGGCTCTCAGGAAAAGCTAAGGCACGTGTCCATGAAACTCTTCCTAACATCAGCAGGGAGGATACAAAAAGTACCACAAGTCTGCCTTCAATTTTTTTTCTGGTAATGAGGCCTGTGTGTGTCAATAAAAACAAGGTAAGACCCAAAGAAGCTGGAGGCATATCTAAGTGCTACCAGAGCTGGGGTGAGAGGGAAATCACTCATACCAGAAACAATGAGGAAAAGCATCAGAAGGGACTACATCGTATGTGCGTCTCTCTGGGTTGCTTTTAACAAGGAGGCAGCCAGACAACCTGCCCAAATATAAATTCTTAGAAAGCAGCTAACACCTGTTCTATCCCAATGTCATGTTATCTCTGGACGACGTGGACCCCTTCGTAGTATGAGATGTGGGGCCCTGTGATCCTGAGGAGCTGGAACTGCTCACTTAAGCTCACCAGTGACTCCTGCCGGCAGGGCCAAGAGCTGACAAAAGGTCAGCCAGTGCTGCGAACCACCCTGAGCAGTTCCAAACACAGATCCCGGTAACGAGGACGTCTCAGCCTGGAAGGGGAAGGTGGGCAGGCAGAGGCTACCCTCCAGACGTTTCTACGCCATCAGGGCAGCTCTGTGCAATTTTAAGCACTTCTGAACAAGTCTGTAAACAGTCTTTAGTAGAGAAAATCCTTGGAAGGGAATTTTCATTCTGGTCTCTGTACTGACTGACACAGTGGTCTTTAAGGAAAAGCCTAGTTTGGCTTCCCCATCATTCATGTACATGTAGGTAAAATTCAGAATAGTTTCAATACAAGTTTATAAAATGTCTGCTTGTACTCTACAGAGCAGTTTCTTGGGTAGCTTAACATACCCTTACTTCCTGAAGGGAGTTTAAGGCAAACAACTTGATCAAGGTCATATTGCCAGTGAAAGACGGAGCTACCACGATGCGGGACCAAGATCCACACGGCCCACATGGCGCTGCGAGAAACTGCCCCGGCCTGAGTCCTGCCTGCTTCTTTCCTGTGGAAATGCAGGTCACCAGCAGCTAGACAGTGACTCTCCGCAATGCCTGAGTAACAACCGGGGGCGCAGCCCAGGTAATAAAGGAATATGCTTCTATCTAAACTATGCTTCCACATCAATAAAACAGGCGTATTAATGCCTTTTGCACCTGACTCAGTCTTGTTATTTCTTCTTTGGAGTTACTGTTTCTGTAAATCCAACCTTAGAGGAAAGAAAAGAGAGGAAGACTAAAGACAAATGGTTTGAAAACCTACCCCCACCCCCAAAAAAAAAAAAAAGGACTTTCAAAAAGTAAACACAAGTCAGGGCACCTGGCTGGCTCAGTCAGTGGAGCATGTAACTTTTGATCTCAGGGTCATGAGTCCAAGCCCCATGTTAGGTGCAGAATTAAAAAAAAAAAAAGTAAACACAGTCTGAGAATGTTAACATGACCAATTCATGTCATTATCACCAACCATTCTTCACTGGGGTCCTGGGGAGGAGGTATATCTTTCTCAGAAAGATTTTCTTCATCATTGTCTCTTTCTCCTGCCATTCTACAATCTCTGTTGGCACCAAACACCTCCATTTCTTTGTGTTTGTCTATGATCTTCTGTGTGAAATCCACAAGGTACATATCCTCCACTTCTTCATCTAAGACATAAAAATCAATATTCAGATTTTTGACATTCCTTTCAAAGAAGTAAACCACATATAGAATTGCTATGAAGCGGTCACATTCACCCCTGCATGGCTACAGTACCCCTGGACGGCTCACTAGTCGATGCACCCACCACCCCCACCATCCCCAATAGTTTACGAAGACACAGAGCCACTGCGGGACCTGACCAGGAAGCTGCAAACAGGCCATCAGAAACATCACACTAAAGAAAATCTTCAAAGAGTCTAATGTCTTCTGTTGCCTCGTCAATACAATGAGTGAGCAATATGGTCTCAGAATGCAACTTTAAGATCAAACCACGTGATTTCAAAGAGACACGTTCACCCAATGACATAACACAGAAGCAGGACTGCATTCCTCATGTCGCCAGAACAGAGCATTAGACTTGCATTGCTACATGAACCTCCCCAATAAAGAGGCTGTATTACTACTAACCCTAAGTATACTGCTGTGGTATGGTGTTTTAAGGGTCCTAATATAGGTAAAAGAAGTCATCTGAATTCTTTTCAACCCAATGAACACTGCTTTCAGGCAAGGCATGGGGCCAGATTTGCAGTGCACACAGAGACGTCTAAGACTTAGGGCTTATTATGTGCTAACACAAGCATACACTGTAAGTTAAATAGCAATCCGTGACTTTAATTCAATTTAACCCAAAATACTTAATATATTCATAAATAACTTTTACACGAAGTTTCACTATGCCAAATTTTCTGAGGTTGTTCTCTGAGGACAGGATTAAGCTCCACAGAACAGATTTTAGGTTCCCTGTCACCAAGTACTGGTGTTAGCCCCCAGGGTACAGTGGAGAGTAACTGAACTCCAAAACTCAACTTGCCCACATATGCGGGTCCAACATGCCTATCAGGCCTGTCGGGAGGTGGGCCCGCCATTGTGGATGGAACCAAATCCCCATGTCCACAGGGACACTCTTTTGACCTGATTTCTATATTAACAATGCAAGTAAAGCTTGAATCAAAAGAAAAAGACTAATTTTTTTTTTAAGCCACAAAATCACTCACATGGGAAAGAGATGTACTTTCCCAGAGCAGAGATTTAAGACTGCAGCACAGTGAGGCCTCCTGGTTAATGGACACCCTGCTGCTGCTTCAAAAGGAAGACACAGCCTCTCTGTCCCCCAGCTTTGAGGGTGCCAACCCTCCTGTGCTGGGCTCCCAGCCATGCAGGAAACAGCCTCTGCGGTTTGGCTGGGTGGGCAGCCAATGACCAGTGTTCCAGCCCTGCCTCTTCTCCTGCTGCCCCAATGCCCCCTTTCCCAGCCCGTCAGGCCCCGCCATACCAGTCTGTCCTGCCAACACTGGCCTTCTGCTCCCTCTGCTGATCTGCTCTTACCACTCTACCCTCAGAATCCTTTTCCCAGCTCTTCAAAGCCTGTGAGATCCTATTAGAGCCTATCTTCTCCCCAAAGACTTCCTTACATGCCTTCTGGCAATGAAACATGCACTGCCTTGTAAAATCTCTTCTACTGCGATCTAATAGTAAGGCTGGGCTTTCTTTCTCTGGGGGGCATGAGGAAAGGGCGATCTTTTTATTATTTTAGAAGCAATTACAGGCACATCACAGGAAAAACAGAAAACAGGGACAAGGAAACAGAACTCCAACACACTGATACACTATAATTCCCCTCAGCTTTTTTTTTTTTTTTTTTAACGTAGATGGAACTGTTTATAATTATAGCCAATTTAGACCTTGTTTCCTAACTCTGCTTTGTTCTGTGTGCCACCATTCTCCACTGATGACCACCCCTTTGAAGGCTGATATGGAGGTTCTGGCTCATGCTACCCTTGTTTGTCCCCTCACAGCACCTAACATGTGGCCTGTTACTCACTGTGCATTCAGAGATTACTGTGGATTTATCTTCTGGTCTCTGTGCTGGCACAGAAGGTCATTTATATTATTTCTTAGATCTCTCCCCACTCTTAAGGTTATTTCAATAAATAATAATATACCACAGGGCTACATGAATTACAGAAAATAAAGAAGTATGAATAAATTATTACATTTACCTATAAAGTCTGCTTTAGTCATTTTCTCATATAATTTGGCTTTTTCTTCCAATTTCTCCCTAGGAGGAAAAAAAAAAAAAAAAGACAAGTATTAGAAATGGTCTTATACCTGCTACTCTGTGCGGCTGCCTCACTGCTAAAGTCTGCCCGGGAAGCCCAGTCTGGAGATGACGGGGACTACACAGCCCTGAGGGGACCCTCAGACCCAGCCATGCCTGACTGCCAACTTCATTAAGTTCCGTAAGGACAAAGCCCATCTTTCTCTTATTCATGACTGAATCCCTAGATATCTAGGGATCTAGAATGTGTCAGATACCTGGCACATAGTAAACTCTCAGTCAGTATCTGAAAATAATAGATTCAGAATCTAAATGCAAACTAAGTTAAATACCAAAAAAAAAAAAGAGGTGTCTAAACAAAAACATTTTCTATGTACAACCTTCTAAAGGGATCGCCAAATCCAACGTACAGCCTTTGCATGACTGTTTTTAGGCAAGAGTCCCTTGTCATCTGTGGCTCATTAGGCTTCTCTAAGGGAGCTCAAGTTCAACTTCTTAGAAGTCTGTTAAAAATATGATGTCTGTTTTATAGAGAGCATGAATAATTTATTCATGACACAGCCAATAAAAAAAACAAACATCAATCCTGGTATTTCAATAAAGCAGCCTCACTGCTCGTGTTAATTCTGGTGACATTTACTTTTTAGTGGGCACAGACTTAGTAAGTGCCTGGCAATTCTTTGTTTTAGAAATACTTCATGATGGTAAAGAGAAGTCCCAAAGAAGCCATCGGAGCTTTTGCTTGGGAAGAATCAATCACAGTCATAAAGGAAAATTTCACTTCTGATGGCGTCTCGACACAATACAGTCCCTTGGTCACATGGCTGTGTGCTCTGGAATAAATTACTTCAACTCTCTTGTACCCCACCCCACCCTCAGCTCCTAAATCTGTAACAGATGAAAAAACAGCACTGCCTCTTAGGGTTGTTATGGAGGGTACCAGATCACACTCAGAGGGCATGCCATCAGCTATGTCATCTGCATCTTCATTAATCTTTCTAGGTCAGAAAGACTCCTCTCCCCTTTTACGCATTCCTTCAAGTATTTCTTCTAGGCCTCCTCTATGCCAAGTGTGGTTTCCGGTGCCGAGGAGTCAGCAGTAAACAAGACAAAGTCCCAGCGCTTATGGAGCTTATGTTATAGAAAGGAAGGAGGAGACAGAGATCGATCAGTGAGAAGGAAGATTTCAGACAGGAGCACTACGAAGGGGAGGAAATGAAAGCAGTTGTCACAACTGGAGGCCCTTCAACTTCCAAAAGGTTAATTTGCTCTATTTCGGAGGGGGCTTAATGTAATAAGCTGTGTCGTCATAAAATCTTATTGTCTTATTGAAAATAAAACTTAAAAAACAAACCACAAAAAAAACAGGTGTCAGGACAGAGTAACCAGGAGGACACTAGGCTAGAAAGGGTAACCAGGGGAAACCTCTCCGAAGGAGACATTTGAGCGAAGGCTTACAGAGCAAGAAGCCAACCATGAGAAGATCTTGGGGAGAGAGCAAGTGATGCAGAGAAAGGATGAAGTAGGAATGAGCTCGATATGTTCAAGCAGAGATCAGAGCGGCAGAGGACTCTGAGCAAAGGAGAGGGGGCACAAAATAAGGATTGAGAAAGGCAAGTACAAGAACGTATGGGAGGGGCATCCGGGGGGTTCAGTTGGTTAAATGTCCAACTCTTGATTTTCGGTCATGGGGTTGAGTCGCACGTAGGGCTCTGCACTGGTGGCACTGAGCCTGCTTGGGATTCTCTCTCTTCTTCTCCTCTGCCTGTCCCCCACCCCCCAGCGCACAGGGGCACTCTCTTTCTCAAAAAATAAATTAAGTACACACATACACACACGTGGGAAAGCATAAGAAGCCTGGGTGCAGCTTAAGAGAAAGAAGGCAGGAAGAGTCTCCAAATGACTAAAGGAGATCAAGGAAGATGTCAGAGAAATGGCCACTGGATTTAGTAGATAAGGAAGTCATCAGAGACTTTAAAGAACAAGAATTCAGAGGGCAAGAGTATGGGACACTTATCTGGAACCACTATGTGCCAGATGCTATGTATCTCCTTTCGTTCCCTAAAAAGCTCCATGAGCTGAGTATTAACCACCTCCCTTCATAGATAATGAACATCTCAACACAGAAGTAACTTGCCTAAGGCCTTACATCCTCAAGGGACTGTCCCTGCCCGTTTTAAGCTCTGAGGAAACTCAGAAGTCCTACAGACCAAGGACAGACTTGACTCTTCGTAAGTGCAATGAAGCCAAAATATTATGTAATAGGTTCCTGGATTAAAAAAAAAAAAAAAATCACAACAAAGTACCCAGGAAAACTCTGTCATAAACAGTAAATAACAAAGGAATATGGCACCTTTCAACAAATTAGAATTCTGCAAATATTCCAGTAGGTGAGAGAGATGTCTCAAAAATCAACACAGCCTATGTCTGCTACGAACAGGTCAAACACTAAGAAGAACCAATTCCCCAAATGCACTAATATTCTGCCTCTTTTTCTCAGACCCAGAAGAGCTGAGTAATCTTAGCAACCACTGTTTCCAAGTGCAGAGATTTTATTAAGCAACAGATGCAAAAGCACGAGTCATGACAGACATCTCAACTTGGGATTCCCTCTGAGCCTAGGGTGACACTGCAAGTAATGAAGAGTTCTTCTTTACAGAAGAAACATCAGCTAAGAAATGCAATGAAGAAATAAAAAAGAAATGACTGAATAAGAAAAATCATCACTTTGAAATTGCCAGTCCAACAACTGAGAAGTCAAGGTTCCACCGGGTAGAGATATGCTGGTGAACAAGATATTCTTGGTCTCAGAGTCACCCTCCTTAGATTATTCTTAATTACAAATCTGAAAGAGACCTTTACAGTGGAAAACTCTAGCAGGTCTACCTTAACCAAGTGATCAAAATTTGTCATCAATAATAACTCAAACCGACACTGTGAACCTCCAGCTGTGATCCGATAGTGAAGACACATCGCCTATGCCTTATTCTCACCAAAAGCAGTAAATTAGCAGCGAGTCTAAGCAGATTGTGGGACATTGCAGACACAGGTCTGGACTCGTCAAGAACAGTAATGATACAACAGACAACAAAAAGTCACGGGAATTATTCTAGATTAAAAGAGACTAAAGAAATATGACAACTGGGGCGCCTGGCTGGCTCAGTGGGGAGAGCATGAGACTCTTGATCTCAGGGATGTGAGTTCGAGCTCCACTTTGAGTATAGAAATTACTAAAAAAAATAATTAAAAGAAAAGAAAAAAGAAAGTCCTGATGTATACAAAATCTGTAGCTCTTTAAAAAAAAAAAAAAAAAAAGAGGGGCACCTGGATGGCTTGGTCAATTGAGCATCCGACTCTTGGTTTCGGCTCAGGTCATGCTCCCAGGGTCGTGGGATCAGCCCTGCATCAGGCTTCCTCCTGAGCATGGAGCCTGCTTACAATTCATTCATTCTCTCTCTCTCATGCTCTCTCTCTCTCTCTTCCCCCCCACCCTCTGCTCTCCCTTACTCACACTCTCTCTGAAAGACAGAAGGACGGAAAGAAAGAAAAAAAAGAAAAAGAAGGACAGACTAAATGGAATGTGTAATCTTTGAATTCTGAAATTAAAAAAAAAAAACTATAAAGGACTTAATTGTGCCAGGACAAGTGTAAACCTGGACTACAGACCATATAGTACGTATCAGTATTTTATCAGTGTTAAATCTCTTGGGTATGATAACACTACTGCGGCAGGAGAGTATACTTGTTCCTAGGAGGTACAGGCTGAAGATTTTGAGGCAAAGTATCACAATGTTTAACAGTTTTTCTGTAACACACACACACACACACACACACACGACAGAGAAAAAGGCCAAAGCAAATGCTGAAAGACGCTAAATGATGAACGTAGGTGCTGTACTTTCAATTATTCTGTTGCTTTGAAGATTTTCAAAATAAAAAGTTAAAGGGAAAATTCAGTTTCTAAATGCTAACGTCATAATCCCTAGTAACCCAGAGCCATACCTCCCTGGGGACACGTCTTAAACACTTGTTGATAATCTTGGTGCCTGACAAAGGCTCAAAGTGGGATTCTGCTTCATCTTCCAAACTGAGGTTATGTCTTATCTCCTTCTAAGGTTACCAACGATATTATTTTTAGAGTCTATTTTATATTTTTCAAGTATGTGATTGAAAAGATGACAAAATTATACCTATAAGTTCAAAAGTGTGAAAGTGAACTCTCACTTCTTTGCCTGGGTAGCACCAAAGGCAACTACATTTATGAGTTTAACTCTACCTTGATTTGTCTAAAGTCTTCTGTTCCTCAGTCTTCTGTTCTACATCCTTCTCAGCTCTGTTTGAAACTCCTACATTCTGTTTGCTCCAGATACTTGGTTTCTGCAGATTTGTTTAAAAAGACAAAACAGAAATACCAAATGACTGCCAAAACATCTCTTCTTATACACATCAGAAGAAAAACAGATCTTATGAACCAATGGGGAAAACTAGATCTTCTGACAGCCAACCTATGTCATGCAAATAGATTGTACAAGGAAAAGCTGGAGCTGGAGAGAAAAAAAAAAAAAGCCCTAAATTATTTAAAGAATTCCTTTACACAACTGCACAGATATTATTTTTTACCTCCTGAATGACTACAACTTAATTCAAGAGAATTAGTCATACAAGTAATAAATACCATTATCTATATATTCGGAAAACCATTCACAACTCTTCAAGACCTTGATATTTTCTGCTATGTTACTGTATTATCTAATTGTTTGGATTTATAATATCTATGTATCTGATCTTCCATGAAAATGTACAAAACCACTTATTAAAGCATGCACTTCTAAAGAAGTGCTAAAGAATTAGGGCATTATAATATGCTTTTAAATGTTCTAATTTCTATTTTAATATAAGATATTTTATGCAGATGTTCAGCTACAAGATGGTGATTTTCCCTGAATTTTTATATGTAGCAGACACCTGGAGACTTTCAAAAAATCTAATTCAGTATAATTCTCTCATGTTTGGAATCAAAGGAGATAACTAGATCTTATTTTTACCTTATTAGTTGTTTTCGGTTTTCCCAAAACTCCAGAATCCTTTAGAAGTTTTTCTTGTTTGAATTCTTCTTGTTTTTGGAAGAGTTCAGCCTTAAGGTCTACCAACTAGAATAAAACCAATAAGCAAATAAAAATAATGGGTTAATTCTAATGAGTGACTACATTTCGCAGTTATTGAATTCTCAAACCAGATTTAAAGTTCCTATAAATGAATATAAAATTAAATGTAGAATCCGGTGCAAAATAAAGCTAAGTCATACTGCATTCCAGATCTGTTGGAAATGGATTTCTACTCTTAACCTTCAATACTGGGCAAGAGGCGAGTAATCACTCAAAGTAAATGAAATCTGCAGCTGCTAGATTCAAACTGAACTAACAACACTAAACACCTTCTCTCTGACTGACACCGTAATCCCATTTAATCATAGCAACAACTGATTATTTCTGCAGAGAAATGTCTACAGCAACTATCCAAGCACTGAAGGGCAAGATAAAAAACATGAAATAGAAACACTTCTGCCTCAAACAGTTACAATCTAATAAAAAAGGTAACTCATAATACCAGTAAGGTGTAATAAATGGCTTTAAGAGTGGAGGAAGGGGCCTCCAGGTGGCTCAGTCCATGAAGGTTAAATGTTAAGGTTAATTGTCCAACTTTTGACTTGGCTAGGGTCATGATCTAGGGATTCTGAGATGGAGCTGTGACTGAGCCCTAAGTCAGGCTCTGTACTAAGCATGCAGCCTACTTAAGATAGTCCCTCTCTCTCTCTTTAAATGTTTGTTTATTTTTCAGAGTGTGAGCAGGGGAGGGGCAGAGAGAGGGAGACAGAGGATCCCAAGCGGGCTCTGTGCTGACAGCAAAGAGCCCGATGTGGGGCCTGAACTCATGAATTGTAATGATCTTGACCTGAGCCGAAGTCCTGATACTTAATTGACTAAGCCACCCAGCTGCCCCTCTCTCTCAAAAAAGAATGTAAGAAAACAGGGGCACCTGGCCAGCTCAGTCAGTGGAACATGACTCTTGAGACTCTTGATCTCAGGGGATCACATTCTGTGCAACGATTACTTAAAAATAGTCTTTAAGAGAAAAAAAAGAGTGGAAGAAAATAGCATAAAATTTCCTTCTGTCCAGTATTTCCTTCTGTCCAGGGATCAGAGGCAGCTTTGAGCTGAGCCTTAAAAGATAGGAAAGGGGGGGCCTGGCTGGCTCAGTCAGAGGAGTGTGCAACTCTTGATCTAAGTCAGGGTCATGAATTCAAGCTCTACACTGGATGTAGAAATTACTGTAAATAAGGGCACCTGGGTGGCTTAGTCAGTTAAGCATCCGACTTAGGTCATGATCTCAGGGTTCGTGAGTTTGAGCCCTGTGTCAGGCTCTGTGCAGACAGCTCGGA